CTGTAAAATAGCAGATATCTACCTGTAATACAGCAGATATCTACCTGTAATATAGCAGATATCTACCTGTAATATAGCAGATATCTACCTGTAATATAGCAGATATCTACCTGCAATATAGCAGATATCTACCTGTAATGTAGCAGATATCTACCTGTAATATAGCAGACACTCACCTGTAATACAGCAGATATCTACCTGTAATATAGCAGATATATACCTGTAATATAGCAGATATCTACCTGTAATATAGCAGATATCTACCTGTAATATAGCAGATATCTACCTGTAATGTAGCAGATATCTACCTGTAATATAGCAGATATCTACCTGCAATATAGCAGATATCTACCTGTAATGTAGCAGATATCTACCTGTAATGTAGCAGATATGTACCTGTAATGTAGCAGATATTTACCTGTAATGTAGCAGATATCTACCTGTAATATAGCAGATATCTACCTGTAATATAGCAGATATCTACCTGTAATATAGCAGATATCTACCTGTAATATAGCAGATATCTACCTGTAATATAGCAGGCACTCACCTGTAATTGATCGATTATTGACGAATTCGATTGATACCTACGTTCGATCAGCTGCTCGACGAACTTCCGGACGGATGACGTAGATGCGAGGTCAAGCTGCATGACGGTGACGTCATTGCGACCTGTGAGCGCCTGTATGTCGGTGCGTGCCTTCTCTGCTTTCTCCACATTTCTACACGCGAGGATGACGTGTGCACCTGCGGGCAGACGTGACGTCATAGATGATAACGGAAGGTGACGTCATAGATGAGGTCAGAGGTGGCGTAATCTATGATGACAGAGGTGATGTTATAGATGAGGTCGGAGGTGACGTCATCGATGATGGCAGGGGTGACGTCATAGATGATAGCAGCTAGAGAAGGTTGGATGAGACATGTACAGGGGAGGAACTACGGGGAAAGAAGCGGTAGGCCGTGGGTGAAGAGGCGGGGAGCGAAATTGTTTTCCTGATCCTTTCAGCAAGCACATGCACATGTACATTTAGCCGGAGCCAGAGTGGAGAGCCAGAGTTTGATTGTTAAATTCGCATTGTTCGCTTGATTGTTTGCTTGGACGCATTGTATTTTTTTCTCAGCTCGCAGCTCGCATAGCATAGAGGCATGTACATGTGCATAGAGGCATGTACATGTCCATGGGAGGGGGTCCGAGTATGTATAGGCCTATTGGGAAAGTTGCGTACTACTAGGCCTATATTCATTTCATTTTAAATGTACTAGGCCTATTGTACATCCAGCCTATACAAGACACCAGTTAGCTGAACCATGGAGTTGTGCATCCACAGCATGCAGCAGGTAGGCACAGTCAAGTCACCACTAGTCACAGCAGACTCACATCACATACTGACATAGTCATAATAATGTACAGGCTACATGTACATTCATTGATTCAATATACTACAAATTAATTGATCAGCGGCAGCGTTAATGCCACTGTCTAAGCGTTTTAATTGAGTTCAGTGAAAAGTATATACCTTAAATTCACAAGCATCATCATCATTTGCATTTACAAAGTCTGACTTTTTCATGTTTACAAAACTGCAGTGACATCGATTCAGACATCCTTGGAAAGCATCGATTTTGATTGGCTAATGTACACTGTGCTTGTTGAAAGGGTCAGGAAAAAAATTTCGCGGGCGGGGA